TACTGTTAAGAGTGAATTGGCTATAATTTCCAGAAGGCTTTTGGCTATCAGCGCTACAATTAGGAAGCAGAAAACCCAACCAAAAGAAACATGCTAAAACCACAGGCTAAACCACCACTCTGTTATAAGAATTCTTCCCCCTCCCCCTCTCCCACAAAAGCACTATCCAGCCAGAAAGTATTTCTGTACACTATGGCTGTAGGCAATCTGAATACTCCAAAGGCCCAGAAAGAAAATAACCTCCTGACACACTTTTTCAACCATTCCTCTCTCATGTGTCTTCTTTGCCAGAACGGACAAACTGTGAGTATAGAACAAATTCAGCCTGGTGTTGTTTATAATATGGCCTGTGAGGAAAGGACTTTTCTTTTAAACATGTTTTTCTCTTTTTTAGTTCACTTTTATCTTACGTATACGAGTGCTCTATTTTTATGCATAACAGAAGGGGCAATTAGATTCCATTACAGAAGAGCTACTATGGTTGCTGGGAATTGAACTCAGGACCTCTAGAAGAGCAGCCAGTGCTCTTGACCATTGAGCCATCTCTCCAGCCCCTTAACATGTTTTTCAAATAAAAATAAAGAATAGGCAAGATGAAGCAACACCCAGCATTGTACCTTGCAGGGAAAGCTTTTTAATCACCTCGGTAGCCAGCTGCCCAGCTTCCAGGTGTTAGAGCTCTGTGTAGATGACCAGATCATTACTGATATCTCTGGCCGGGAGAGAAAAAAAAGCCTGCGTTGATGTCCAATTTCTGTCAAATCTAAGGCGCAGCCTGAGGGAGGCATGTCAGCGTTTGTGGAATGACTTCAGCTCAAGCATGGGACTAGCCAGAGGATCCCTGGGGACAACGTGAGTCATCCATTCAGCTTCCCTTGCTCTCCTGCTCCAAAGATGGTGACAGGAGGAAAGAATGAAGTTTTGGCCAAAACTCTCCTGTCTTACACTACAATGAAAAATTGTGGGTGGGGGTGTTTATGGCGGTGGATATGAAGGCCAAGAATCCTGCTTCTCTCTTGGAACCTCGGTAATCACATTCCTCCTTGGTCTGTCCCTCAGTAACATCCTGACGTCCCATAAGGCCATCAAAGACACCCCCATTTCCTTCTACCTTTTGTGTTTCCTAGTGTGTCCTCCTAACATGAGCAGAGGAAGTCCTTGGAAGGGAGGACCCTACTTACTGGCCCTGAGAGCCGAGTGGCTCCTTCATGAAGCCCTGCTGTTCACATTCCCAGCTTCCTCCCAGTTCTGTGCAACTGACTTGCTCAAGGGAATTGGAGAGGACAAAAACAAACCACTAAACCTGCCTACTTCCTAGTGGGTCCTGAGAGGTGAGGAAATGCTCTCAGAGCCTTTATCTCTTCCCCTCTAGACTAGATTCTGTGGGTCACCACCCCTTTAGCAGTCCTTTCACAGGGGTTGCCTAGGACCATCGGAAATATCAGATATTTACCTTACAAGAGAGGCAGAGAGGCAGAGGCAGAGGTAACTCTAAATTTCAGGTCACCCTGGTCTATATAGCGAGTCTCAGGACACCCAGGACCACATGGAGAGACTGCCTAAAGCAAAACAAAACAATAGATCTCAGACTCCGATTTACAAGGTCTTTCTGTGGCTCCAGGATCCAATGGAATATTCTCAGGGCATGTGTGCACACAGAGGAGTGGCTGAAAAACCATCGCGCCCTGCTTTGCATAAAGCAGCTAGGCAGCCACCGTCCCACTGAATGGCTCAGAGTTGCAATTCTGGGGACATTGTTTCTTTTTTTACTATCTGTTTTTATCCCAGTCATCTTAGAGACCAAACAACAGATTCATAATTGACGATTATAAAAATCTACTGGATCCCATATTCACGAAAGAGCCGTGCGGCTTTTCTCTTCATTTCTGCAATGGCGACTGTGGGCAGTGTTTTGAACTTTTTGAGAACACTAGTGTGTCAGTTTCAAACCACTGTGACAAATGTTTGAGAGAGCAACGTGAAAGAGGGAAAGACTTATTTTAGATCATGGTTTCAGTCACGGTCAGTTTACACTAGAGCTGTGGCCCTTTAGCAAGGCAGAGCACCACAGTAGATAAAGTGTGAGGGTCTCAAGTCGCTCACTGCAGGGCAGCCTGGAAAAAGGCGGAGAGATGGGAAGGGACACAGGGCAAGAGGTATGCCCAAAGGTGCCCTTCCCCACTAGTGCCCCTTCCCCAACCAAGCCCCACATCTTAAACTTCCTACCGTCTCCCAAAACAGCACCAGAAGCTGCGGGCCAGTCTGGGAGACATGTCATATTTGAGCGACAGCTGCTATAGATGGAGCTCACGGCTGCATCTGCAAACTAGCTGCACAACTTTCGTCCACACTACACAAAGCTCACAGCTGTGTGGCTGTGAGCTTCCCCTGGGGGAGGCTGCCAGATGCAGCCACTTCACCCCTCCCCTTCTTCCTCCCATCCCTTCTTTTGAACTTCCTTTTTGGATTTTGAAAATCTCACTTAGGGTACGTATCAGCTCTTCAGTGGGAGAGGAGAGGTCACATAGGCAGATGGTTTGTTTTCCTGGATACTGAGTCTCCGTGTGATCAAACACTTCAAAGCTAAGACAGCCACCCATAGTTTTCCCCATGGCTGTCCATTCTACCTTTCACAATCTGTGAGAGGAAGGAAGAGCTTGGGCCTTGGGTGACTAAGATGAGTAGAAGACAACAGTCACCCTTGTTCCTCCTCCCTGGATCTGGTCTATGGATGGTGAAGGCTATCACTTATCTTCACTGCCAGATACCTTGAAGCAATGCCTCCCTTCCCATCTCTGCAAGCCTTCCAGCATTTTCACATCCACTGAATACAACCTGTACATTAAAAAGAAAACCAAGATGTACAGAGTGAAAAAAATTGACTTAAAATATGCTTCCCATTTTTTTGAGGCTAAATGCTAAATATAAAAGGATAGTTTTAGGTTTTTTTTTTCTGTATTTATTACATTTTTGCTTTTGAGACAGATACAAAGAAACCACTCTCTTCCACCACAAACACACAAACATCCATTCTTGTGATTTTTAAAGTGCATTTCCCCTCTACCATTGTATACAAAAATATTTCTTAAAAACATGCAGAAGTTTCTGGACAAGGCACTTTGAAGCATACAATGATGACAAATCGTCAGTTGAATATTCACATTAAAGCAAAAGTGTGACATCATCACGTGTATACTAGAAGTCCTCTTGCCCCAGGGTTCTCTGGGAGCTAAACCGTGGAAACAGGCACAGCTTTGCGGGTTGAGCTGGGGGTATGACACAGCCCTCAGAAGGAGAAACTTCTGTTCTCTTTTCTGCTGTCCCCCACTTCAGGAATGCTGCCAATTTGTCTTTGGGTGACTATGGAAGATCCCATTATAGGTCAGATCCCAGGATTTCCAGAACATCTTATCTACAGTTTCTGTGATCACACCAGGAGACACAGTTAAGTACAGACCTTCCCAGAACAAAGAACCACCAAGACTACATATCAGGGATAAAATAACTCCCACCATTGATGCAAGCTGTTTCAGCTTCTGGAGAACAACAGACGTGCATTATTTCTTCCTAACTTTCCTATAAAGAATTCTTATAACACTCAAGTGCTTCTTGCAAGAAACATGAAAAACTTGATTATCATCTAACCTTTTTATAGTCTAGCTTATTTATTGTACTCATTTTGCAAAAACACCCCAGGAAATATGGGGAAATAAATACGGAACAAAAATGGAGTTGCCTTCCCTTCCTGGAGTATAGTGTCTGAGGATTAGCGTCCCCAGAATAACCAAGAATCGCATGAGGGCAGATCTCCGAGTCAAGCTTGCAGTTGGATTTTTCAAGCAAGGGATCCTCTGAGGTGTGTAGGTTTGTCTACAACGGTGAACGGAGCATGGAGTCTCTCAATGCAGCTCCTGAGGCTATCTCAAAGTCACTGGTCAGACTGGTTAAAAAGAGAACTATGTTGGAGGCAGAAAACAAAAGATTCTTCAGCGTCTCAGTGAGTGACAGTCTTGATGAGAGAAGTCAGGCACACAGGCTGCTTCGTTGGGAAGGGTCTTGGCAAGCAGGTGAAGACATGTTCTCAGAGCTGAGCTGTGGGCTGTGAACCCCAGGTGTTCTGGCTTGGGGCTCTCAACCAGGGCCCCTAGCAAGAAAGCGGGGGCAAATCTGGGTAAAAGGGGTGTTGGTAGTTATGTCTGCTTTAGGAGAGATACGTAACATGGAATTACCATATTTCATATTTTGACACGGAACGTCTGAAGAGCATCATTCCACACTACTGAACAGACTTCGTTCTGTAGTTAACTTGGGGCCCTTTTCTTCGTAAAATGATCTTTAGTCTGATAGTCTGTAAGGAACAGTGCCCTTGGCTGCCTTCCTTCTTAACACAAGATAAAATATGTGACCCATAAGAGATCAGTTTTGCTTCCATCCATTTTAGATCTAGCAGCTCTGATCACCGAATCTGAAACTTTTAAGGAGCATCCATACATGATATATCTATAAACAGATACAGGATATGCTTAGAGAAAACACAACCCCTGCCCAATTTCAGCCTAACTTACAAAGGTGATTTCCCCACAGATATCAGCATGCAAGCCTGGATCATTCCCCATCTGGGAGAGGCACCAAACACAAAGCACAGATTACAGAGTAGTACCAGTTTTAGGAATTAAAAAAAAAATCATACAAAATAGCATTTAAAAAGTCAAAACACCTTAAACTCCAAAAGTGAAAAAAATTAAGATATAAAAAAAAAAAAAACATGCTAGGATCAAAAACATTTGCTACCTGCCTGATTCAAACTTATGAAGCCAGAGAGCATAGGCCACTTCCAGCCCCCTGCCCCAGACTCTGAATCCACCAAACTCTGTGCTTCATTCCCTCATGTCTCCGGGGGGAACCTCACTTCAGTAAGAAAATTAAACAGACATCTTTTGCCAAACTTCCAAAACAAAACAACACCCCTAAATTTCTACAAATATGCATATAAAAAGTAGTTCTCAAACTCCCCTATAATTTTAATTTACCCAAGAGAAAAATCACAGGTTTTGGGGGTCCACCCAACAGTAAAAGCTCTAGGAGTCTCAAAATAGCATTTGATAATGCACTGCAGTCCAATATGGTTAAGAAAAATTCATGCTGCAGAGTTGACAAACATTTAAAATAACATAGCAAAACTTGGTGAGGTTTTTTTTCCCCCCTATCCCTTTACAATACAAACCATAAGTAAAAACACCCAATCAGTGTCCGTGGGGGTTTGCGAAGCATCCTGAATATGACTGTGTACTGCAGACAAACCTAAGCATTTTCTGGAGGCTTCGAGGCTATACCAGACATGCTATTTGAAAGTCTCAGACTCAGCATTGAAGTGGACTCTCCAGGAGGGGAGTTATGATTCTCCCCTAAGAGAATCAGCTCACACAGCAGCCTGGCAGTGAAAACGGATCTTGTCGTTGAGTTTCCTGGTAACTTGGGGTGAAACTGAGTGCTTGAAAAGCGCCCCCAAAATCCAACAGGAAAAGCTAGAAGTTATGACTGTCCTGCTTTGTCACAGTGCTGTACCCCGTGATCCCACGCGGAGACCAATATGTTTCCAGTAACTGGTATGTTGGTCTCTGCTGGAATATAAAGTAGGGGTCAGAAAGAGGGGAGAGGAAATGCCTATCCCTGCCACAAGCTACTTAAGCTTCTGTTATCTTGTCCAGATCACTGGCTGGACTGGGGCGGGGGGGGGGGGGGATGTAGAACATGAACTTGCACAGAAATGGGCTGCCCCAGTCCCTCCTCTGAGGCGGCGGGGAATCAGGCCAGTGTGCCACAGAGCTGAGATAAAGGGGGCACCGAGTACAGGCGGAATGAAGGCAACACACGGAAACGCGTGGGCGGGGCGGGACCCCAAGGTCAGTGTTAAGGCTGGAAGAGACTGGAGACTGGCTTCTAGGTGACTGACTTTCCGAGTGTGGAGGAGAGGCCGGCTTCCTCCGTTCTTGCCAGCTTGGCTCCTCTCCAGACCCTTCTGGCACCATCCTGCGCATTCCCTTGTGGCCAACCCGGATGCCGCAGGGAATCAGCGCACCTCCTCTCCTCCGGGCAAGAAACCAATCGCTATGGAAACACCCCGGACTCTCTGGTTTAAGAAAAAGGTGAACAAGGAGCCTATCTTTTCAAAGACCGTGCCTAATGGCAGTTCATCTTCACTCTTGTCTTGCATTCTCTCCTTCGCCTTGATCCAGAGCCACAGACTATCCGCTGTAGTCATTAGTAGTAAGGCCCTAGTTTCTCATAGCCCAGATAACTAGGCCACTCTGGAAACAGTCCAAAGGAACACCGAGGGCTTCCAAACTGGTCAAAGGATATTCCAAAATCCGGTCCCTTGTACGGCTCGATCGCTCCCTGAGTGGCTCGGAGCTCAGCCCGTATGATCCTGTAGTTTTTGCCTTTGTTGCTGTCCCAGTACGCCTGGCCGTTGCACTCATAGCACACGGCAAACTCCATTCTCTCATAAGACTGAATTTTCTCAGGTAGGCTGATGTCAAAGGAGAACGTGTCCCTGTCTGAACCAGCGTAAGTGTCCTTCACGTACTGACAAGGGAAGTCTGTGAAGCTCTTCCAGGTGTCAAATGTCATTCTGATCTTCACAACCTTCTCGAATGCCAGGTTCTGGACCTTGACGGTGCCCTCGATGGCTTTGTCCTTCAGCACGCAGTTTTCGAGGCAGACATGGTTGTTCTGAAGTCGATTTCTGAAGTCTAAGTAATCCGCAGAAGGCTGCGGAAAATCCAAAACAAAGCTCTCACTCTCTGCTGTCGTCAGACTCACGATGTTGTCTAGCAGCTCCGTGATGTTAAACGGAATATCTAGCGGGTCATCAAATTCCGAGAACACTTTGACCATTGTCAGGGCCAGCCCCTGGTTGTCGGCGAAGGACACCCGCTTCTTCACCTTCTTCTCCTGCACCATGGGGGCCACCATGCCGCTGGCTTCATCCTTGCTGCCCAGCTGAATGCAAGGCCTCAGAGGCTTGCTCAGTTTGGGGGAGATCTTGAAGGTGAAGCGCTCCCTGCGCAGAGAGGGGGCCATAGTGCTGTAGCTGTATTCTATGTCCACAGCCATCACGCTAGACGAGCAGGCTAGAAGGCTGGCAGAAAGGGAGATGAGAAAGGAAAGAGGTCAGATGGATGTTTAAACCCTCCTTCTGGCAAAGACGGACAAACAATGTTGCCTTTCATCTGGGCTCACACTCGCATGCAGTCTCACAGGACACAGGTTTCAGCAAAGATTGTGTTGGAACAAGGCACCAGCCGGGGGTTGGGGAAGGGGGGAAAGAAAAAAAAAAAGCTAAGATTAAAACCAACAAAGAAAAGAGAACGGAGCTCACTAGTTTCAGGTTTAATTCATGGGGTTTTCTGCCAGGACGACTTGGATCTTTCTGTATGCTAATACAGCACAGAGGAGAATGAAACGGGCACTAAGAATTATAGTTTCCTGCCATACGGTGGTAGTGAACATCTTTAATCCTAGCACTTGGGAGGCAGAGGCAGGCTGATTCTGAATTCAAGGCCAGCTTGGTCTACCCAGAAAAACTCTTGTCTTGAAAAACAAACAAACAAACCAAACAAAAACAGAATTGTGATTTCCTAATGTGAGCTTATTTGACTGAAAGAACTCCCCCCTCTTGTGGGGAAGTCTATACCCCACAAACAGTTGATCTGAGGATTGTTTTCGGTAAACACTGCAGACTTCTATTGGACAAATAAAAATTGTTTATATTTCCAGGCTGGTGAGATGGCTTAGTGAATAAAGGCATTTGTCACCAAGCCTCATAACTTCCTTTCAATCCCTGAGACCCACATAGCTGATGGAGGGAACCAGATCCCACAAGTTGTCCTTTGACTTTTACACATTGCCCTGTGGAACACATGTTCCTGTACTAAATAAATAAATGCAATAGAAATGATATTTTGACATATGCACACATTGTAGAATGGCTGAGACACTTAATGTACATTTTCTCATACACTTGGGAGGTGTGGTGAGAATATTTAAAATCTCTATGCAATTTCCAGGTCTACATTGTCACTAACTACTGCTGCGACGATGCAATGGATCTCTTGAAGATATTCCTTCTTTGGAATTAAATATGTATGCCTTTTAATGGACATTGCCCCAGTTCCTCAACGCTAGCATCCAGCAGCCACCAATTTATTACATATTCAATTACATTTTTAGATTTTATATGAATGTGTGCACTTCTCTTTCTGTGGTTGGCTTATTGCACTTAGCACAGCGCCCTGCAGGCTCTTCTCCATGTTTCCACAATGACACCATTTCATTCTTGTCTATGACTGAACAGCACTCCACTGTCTATGGATACCATATGTTCTTTGTCCATTCATCCACTGAGAGGCACTTAGCTAGATTTCCTATCTCGGCTATGAGTGTTACATGAATATGGGACTATGGCTGTCACCTCAACATACTGATTTCCTATCCTTTGAATACACACACCTTGTAATAGGCTCACTGGCTCACATATTTTTAATTTTTTGAGAAACCTCACAGTGCTTTCTGTAGTGGTTGCATTAATTTGCATTTCCACTACTTCTATCTTTTTGAAAGATAACCATTCTAACAGGTATAAAGTATGATATCATGGCTTTAATAATAAATACCGACAACCCAATACAAAAGCAATACAAATTTATAACACAAATATTGACTTGGTATTTACCATGCATCAGACATTATGCTATTATACCCTGAGATTCATTGATAAGAATGGACACAGACTTGTTTTTATGTTCTAATATACCTTTCTTTAGAAAAAGAATGAATAGTTCATTGTTTTGTACTTTGACATGTAGGTAGATAATTGCCTTGTTTATAGGTAATAACAGTTGTCATAAGAACTAAAAGCAGCCTAGAGATGGTGATGGCTGTGGCAGCATAAACCCCAGCACTCAGAAGGCAGAGGCAGGCAGATCTCCAAGTTCGAGGCCAGCTTGGTTTACAGAGTGAGCTCCAGGAACAGATAGGGATACACAGAGAAACCCTGTCTCGAAAACACAAACAAACAAGCAAAATCAACAACAACAACAAAAAGGAAATGTAATCACACAATAAGACATTAAATTTACTTAATTAAAACCATATTTTTCTGTAAGTGAATATATAAACATACTCAAAAAAATTACAAACTTGGAAATTACTTTTCAAAGAGCATGACAATTAGGAGTTATTAACTTGGAATATAGAGTTGTTACAAAGTAACAAACTCAAATAGCCCCCACAAAAGAATGAGCAAAGAAAAAGAGCATCAGCAGATGTTACATTAAAATAAATAAATAAACAAATAAATAAAGTGACTCAAAAACATTCAAACTGTGCAGTCTTAGTAATTTAAGAAATTCAAATGGAAGTTGAATGTGACTATGCACACCTGTGACATTAGCTCCTGAGAAGGTTTAGGGAGGAAGACTGCACGTTCGGTGCTTGCCTAGACGGAAAAGTGAAATTCTGTCTATAATAAATTAGTTAAAATTAAAAATAAAGAAAATTTATATTGGAAATGCTTGTTTTTCACATAGTGGATTAGGAAAGAATCATAAAAGAAAAGATTTTTTTTTTATTATCAAAACTGGTATAATAATCTGGGAGTAGTGGCCCTCGACTGTAAACCAGCTCTCAGGGAGGCAGAGATATAAGCAGATGCTATGAGTTCGAGGCCAGCCTGGTCTACAAAGCAAATCCAGGACAGCCAAGGCTACACAGGAAAACCCTATCTCGATAAAGAAAAAAAAATAGTATAGTCTTCCTAAATATTCTTATCATTTCACTCCAAAAGTATATACAATATAATCTACCCTAAATAAAGAAATAAAATATACAGAAATTAACAGAAAGAGAAATAATGAAAAAAAAATGCCTACTAAGGATGCCTCATAAAATTAACTATATCGTGTCCACATTGTTTAATTTTATACCACTGGTTTCATTATTTGGGAAAATGTTTAAGTGACTAGGAAAATTCACGTTTGCTTTGGATTTTGTAGTTTTGGTTTTTGAGAGAGTCTCACTGTAAAACCTTTGCTGAACTGGAACTAAATATGTAGACCAGGCTAGCCCTAAACTCAGAGATCTGCCTGCTTCTGCCTCCCAGGTACCGGGTTTAAGGCAATGTGACACTGTGCCTAGGTAAAATTTTATCTATGTTGTTAAAAGAAGGAGGAACAGAAAAAGTTGTACACAAATACCAGACATGAGAGAAAATACTATGTACACACACAAAAAACAAACAAACAAACAAAACCAAGTAGAGATACAGCACACTCTCATTGGTTTTCTTTCCCATGGTTTCAGCTCTTTATACTCAATCAAAGTTCAAAAATATTAAAACAAAAATTCCATTAAGTAAGCAATAGATATGTTTAAATTGTGCACCATTAATTCTGAGCTATATGACGCCATCCCCTCTTGGTAGAGTCCTCCTTTTTCCTCAAAGCCAACCTTAACTTAGCCAACATATCTATGATACATATGCCACCAGGCCATCAGGGACTAAGAGCCATCTTGGGTATCACACTGTTGCAGGATTACAAGGAACTTTTATTCTCCTGTTTCAGTTGTTGTCTTGGAAACTTTACTGCCTCCTTCTGTTAACCCAGGCCTACTCCTGGAAGCTTCTAGCCTCCATACAATCTAACCTAGGCCTAGAATGTTTTCAGCTTCTGAGAGTTACAGCTGAATAAGCGCACCCTTTCTTGTTCTTTCTGAGCTCATAGCTGGCTGGTTCAACTCAGCTGTTCTGGCTCAAACTCCTCTCCCAGCTGACTTATTCAATCTGACTTCTCTCTCAGGCTTCTCTCTGAATTGCTCTGCTTGACTTCAAACTAACTTCAGCAACCTGCTCTAGTCTCCTGCCTCCTTCTCATTCTCTGGCTCATTCTGTCTTCACCTGTGTCTAGCTCGTTTTCTCAACCTATAAAACTCTCCCCATAAAACTGCCTCTCTCCTTACACAGCTTCCCTTTCCTCTCTGTTCTCGTGAGAGTTGAGTGTATCCTATTCTGTCAGACATTCCTGATTCCTCACTTTCTTTTTCTGCCACTCAATTAGACATCAGTTTCAAACTTGAGTGCTCCCTTCATTGTTTGGGATTCCATCCAGCTCACACAGACCTAGAAGGTCTTTGGATGTGATCTCTTGCCAGAACTGTCTGCCGTGTTCTGAATTAAGGTTTCTCTACAAGAAACCTTTTTTTTTTTTTTAACCTAATAATGACCCTAAAGCTCAAGAGCAGTGATGTAAATGAGGCACCTGGCCATATAATGAAGAAAGAGATGAGCTCTGGAACTGTGGAGCAATGCTGCAGAAAGTAAAAACGCATAGGGCTTACAGCTGCCTGGGCAGCTTGTTAGGCATCTCATATAGATAGCAGGGACCATCCAATAGTTAAAAATGTCAGAGTATGTGTGTGACATATTTCCTCAACAATGCTTCCTGTTTTGTGTTTCCTTATATCGTCTAAAACAATACTACTTCTGTAATCAGGAAAAAAAGTGACCTTAAGAAAACAGTCGAAACTACTCCGACGCTTAACCTGACTAAAGGGGCACATCGTTTTAGCTTTCTCCTTATGATGGCATATTTATATGAGACTTAACGATGGTCTGAGCTGAAGAAGCTAGTAATAAAACCTGGATTAGAATCTCAAATCTGGCCAGACGGGCGGTGGTGTGTGCCTTTAATTCCAGCACTTGGGAGGCCGGGGCTAACCTGGTCTGCAGAGCAGAGTTCCAGGACATGTCAAATAGGAGAGTAGAGTTTCAAACATCTGCCTTCTTCTGGCTAACAGGAAGGGATGAGACGGTGTCTTGTGGCAGGGAGGGGCCTTGCTCAAGGGCTACCACGGCTGCCTGAAAGGGCAAGTGCTGGGGGACAATGCCTTTGACCCAGTAAATGCTCTTTCAGCTTCTGAATCTGATTAACCAAATGCATAATAATAATAAAAAAAAAGTTGCCTCATGGTGGTGGTACACACCTTTTAATACCAGCACTTGGGAGGCAGAGGCAGGTGGATTTCTAAGTTTAGGACCAGTCTGATCTACAGAGTGAGTTCCAGTATATCCAGAGTTACACAGATATCTCAGGGGGGGGGAAGGGAAACACACACACACATACACACACACACACACACAGAGAGAGAGAGAGAGAGAGAGAGAGAGAGAGAGAGATAACAAAGACATATTAGACTCCCTCCTTACTTTTTTTTTTTTTTTAAAGATACATTGTTTTTTGTGGGCACAAGAAGCCTGGTAATCCTGTTTTGCCTCTGAATCTGTGTGCTTTCCCAAGTGGCCACGGCTAAGGGCTTCTGACACCCACTAAACCAATGCCTCACTACTTCCCTTCTAGGGAAAGAAGTAATCCAGTGAAAAGGTTCAGAACAAATTAGCTGGGTCTGATCTAATGTCCACACACAAAGACTGTTCCTGGAAAGGGAAAGTCGGACTGAGCTGCCTCTACAAAGGATCAATGGGTTGACTAACTCATTTTTTTTTTAAAGGCCTCATTACTTAACAGATTGTATGAGTTTTAGTTATTCATGTCCATTGCAAAACTTTGTTAGAAATAGTCCTCCCGTTTCAACTTTAATGTACATATTTCTTATTCTGTTTAAATACGCATCAAAGCCAAACACGGTCCCATAACAGCATGTTCTGTGCATTCCACACTGCCCACCCCTGAAGTGCTGGGAGTGAGCAGGGGAGTAGAAGTCATCCCATCCCTGTCCAACCCACCCCCACCCCACCCCATCCCGGGCACTTCCTCCTGGCTTGAGTCAGCACAAGGCCTGGTGTGCCTCTGTAGTGCCTCCAAGTTCTAGGTCCAGTCTCAGCCATGCTTTCCTGAAAGTTTTTTTTTTTTTTCCAGCTTGTTGGAAAAATGGTACAAAATTCTTGAGCTACCATGGAAGCAAAACCCCAAAGCGCACTCAAGACTCTGCTCCCTTGCAACCCAGGAGGCTCGCTCAGGCGTTCTAGTCCTGCAGGCTCAAGAGTGGAGGTGAAGCCGTTGGTGAACATGTACTCCTGGACCCCCTTTGTCACTGAACTGTGAGGATTAGCAGAATCGAGGTTGGAGAGACATGTTTACAATCAGAGCCAGAGTTATGGAGGCAATCCTTTTCAAGAACCATATTTTTTTTTCCCAAGACTTGTCCATGAAAGACAAATGTGAGATTATGATGGCCCAGGAGTTACCACTGGGACTCTTGCCCTGTAAAATTGCATAAGCAGGCCTGGCTTAGAAACCCTTCTTTTTTTTTTTTTTTCTAGATGTCGCCATCGCTACAGGCTAAGGACATTCACCCTTGTGGCCTCTATCAAGGGTATAATGTGATGGTCACCCTCATAGAACATTCCAGCTTTTATTAACCTGATGTTCATCCAAGAATCGGCGTACCAAAGTACTTGTTTGAGTTTAGCTTTCCTGATTTATCTACTCGGATGTCCCGACAGCCCAATAATGATAAGGGCCACTCAGAAGCGCTCCCAGAAATTGGGCAGCGCAATAGTTAAGTCCCTTAAAGGAAGACACCCCAGCAGGTGCTTCAGGAAACACATTCACCCCCAAAACATGTTTGGAAGGACCACAGCCTTCTGCCTCCAACCCTGCCTGACCAGCCTTTCCCTCTACTGAGGAAACAAGCAGAAACAGAACAGCACCTCTGAGCCACAGAGAATGGCACCTCTGAGCCACAAGTATGGGACATAGGATCTTGACCCTAGCTGCAGGGTTCCTGGGAGTTCCAGGAGCTCTTTCCCAAGGACAGTCACACACTTCGCTTTCGCAGGGATGCCTTGGAGGTCAACAGCCTCTGATGAGGGACTGGGCTGTGTCTGAAACCCTTGCAGAAATACCTTCTCTGTTCTGGTGAAATACTGTGGCCTTTCAAGATACCGGCCAGTCCCAGAAATCCAGGGATATTTCTTTTAAGGTTGACAAGCCTGAACAGAAAATAACCCCTATGAGCTTCTGCGTTTCAGGCAGCTGAGCTGAGTTCCTGGCTGTGCCTTCCTTTCTGCACCCCTTTCTCTCAGACGTGAAAGGCAGATTAGGAACAGCCCACCAGCAACGCTAGGTCAGCTAAACACCCACAACCAGGTTATACCACGCCAACACCCACCCTTCTCCCCTTCAGCAATTCTCCATTCTCTCCCCAGTTGTTTAGCTGATACTTTTACACAAATAAAGTTGACATGGTTTCCCCACAGAGCGTAATTATCACAGCCTTAATGCATACCCCTCAGTCTTAAATGTTTGCGAATGGAACTGTGTAATGAGCAGTCAGGGCACTTTGAATGAGACAGCCCACACTGCCCAGCGCTGGCCTAAGAATGCCTCTGCCCGGCTGAACTGCAATAAACGAACTCTCCAGGCTTAAAGGTTCTCTTTTGAGGTCCCTTCTCCGCTCTGACCTCTGGGGTTGCTAACCGGGCCCTAGTCCAACTTTTTCCCTAAATGGCCCTAGTCTACTTCTGTGGTCCTTCAGCTGTCTCCAAGTTTTTTCCTGGCTCCTGGACATCTTTGCCAAATGGACCATTTCCTTTCCTGCCTAGGCTGAAGAAGCCCTTTTCCTCCTGGACCCGCAAGCTGCAACAGGTCCACCTTCTAGCAACTCTACAAGTTTCCACACTCAAGTCTTTTTTTGTTAAAGCTTTCTCTTCTGTTTCGCTCTGGGCCGTCCACTCTTCTGAAGCTAATCTGGTTCACAGCCTTTTCTCTGGGTCCAAAACGGTGGCTCTGAACAAGTCCCTGGGGGCAGGTCAGCGAGTCCGATCCCACCAGGCATTCTCCGACGGTGCTGTGCCTGCAAACCGCTCGCCGTCCCCCCACCCACCCCACCCCACACACCCTCCCCAGGAGCCTTGCTACACCTGGGTCTGCACGTACCTCTCCCGCGGCGCCGCAGCCCGGGCCCCTGCTCGCCGGCCTCATGGGAGAGCCTGAGAGAGGTGGCAGGGGTGACTGCTGCCCCTGAACTACGTGAGCGTCGGAGTGTCCCGGAGGTAGGGCCTGGGCTTAGTTCCCGGAGACGACCGGGGAGGAGGAGTCAAAGTTATCACACCAGGGCGGGACCTGGCGCCGTGACAGCCCGGGCGGGAGCGGCGCCTCAAGAGCACCCCCAAGCGGGCTGCCCCGTTCCCGGGCGGAGCTCACCTAAACCCGTCGCCTTCCGAGACCGGAGACCACCCAACGTGTGCCCCTGCCCGTGTGCACCGAAGGGTGACAAGTCTACTCGACTTGATGGAGTCGGGGCTTGGACGGGGCTCTCTTTGGGAGACTTGGGTTTGGACCACGGATTCCGCCGCAAGAACCTGGGATTACCATCCAGAAGTGTCAAATCTCGGGTTAGGGATGTGCCGTGTTGGGACTTGCGACACCTTTTGTCCAGGACATCTCCCCTGGCCACGTTTCGTGGGCTAGCCCCACGGAGGGATCTCGGGGGTCCCCTGCATCCCAGCTCGGGTGCCTGGGATGTTCCTGCACGTGAAAGCGACCAACTACCCGAGCCCGGTTGGAGGATCCTTCCACCTGGGAGTCACCGTAAATGGGACGACAGTGGTGAGGGCCGGGGAACGCCCCCGTGCGCCTCTCGCCGCAGATTTCCAGGCCCCGCACCTCGAGCTCGAAGCTTGGGGAGGTACGTACCAGGTACAGCTCCTGAGGACAGAGAGCGGGGCCTCCAGCCCGCCCCCACCATCTGCGCGGGGTGACGCGGACAGCGACGGCAAGTGTGGGACAGGGACCCGGGTGGGTCCGCGCGACAGCAGCCCGTGGCGCACTTAAACTTTCCAGCCACCTCTCCCCACCAAGGGTGCCATCCAAGACTTTTTTTCCTCCCCACAGGAACGCGGAACTCGGCCAACGAGCACTCCCGGGACCTGAGTGGCCGGCCAATAGCCACACTTGCGGGAGAGCAGCCATCCGCCACGTGATCTGCAGCGTGTGGCGAGAGACACCGCTGGAGTCCTGGATCTGGGAAGCGGGTCGCAGTTTCATCAGGCGCCCGGGGGTGGGGGGTGGGGGAGGCGACGACCCTAGCCTAGGGATGGAGGCGATTTCCCACCTTAGAAGGTTTGGCTGGAGGGACACTGACTGAGGAGCATCGGCTGGCTGCCGCGTGCAAAGCTCTCCCCCCCCCCCCCCTGCCAGTAAAGTTCTAATCAGATCTTGAGTCCCAGGTGTAGAAGGCAGTGTTGTCTTTCCGTTGGCCTGGCCCTAGCCTTTCTAGGACAATAGCCCGCAGGGTTCACAGATGGCTGTGACCTCCGCAGAATGCCCAAAAGCAAGAGTTCTCCATGCCTTCCCCTGTCCACTTCCGATATTATCTGCATCTTAGGCAGTAGTGTCCCAAGCATTCACTGACTCTTGCTTTGTGGCTCTCACTCTAGCAAATCTAGGGATGTTTGGGGGCAGAACACCACCCAGGACGCTCACAGTCCTGCAGACTGAGGACTAGAGAGGTGGATATATTTAGGAGACTGCCTGAATTGGGTTTGATTAGTAGCGAGCTGCTTGTTCCCGGCTTCTGTTTTTGTTGTTGTGTTTATGCCCCTGGGGCTCTGCAGGACAGTGACTTTAGGAACCAATGACTCCTCTTTCTCCTGGGAAATCTGTTGACCTTAGCTGCCACTTGAGGTAGGTTCATATTTTTCTAAGGGCATCCCAGCCCCTGGGCTAGAGAAGTTTGCGTAGGGTTAGGGTATGCCAGCCATATCTTGTAACAGTTAGGGACTGAGGAATGCTGGGAGAACCTGGTGGCCAGGTCCATTTTGATATATTAAACAGGCACCTGTTATCCATTTGTGTTGGGTTTGGGACCTAGCACTTAGAGATCTGCCTGCCTCTGCCTCTCGAGTACTGGAATTAAAGTTCGAGTACTGGAATTAAAGAGTACTGGTGCGCACGGCACCACCCATGCCCAGCTGACTTAAAAAGTTCTCTGAGAACAACAGACACAAGAAGGTCATTATGACCATTAACTCATATTGGATGCATTGACTTGCATATTGGACTTATGGAAACTCGTTGTTTAATGTGATTTTGGGGGTTTCTACTCTAAGGGATACAGGAGCAGCTTTCAATATAAGTGGGTATGCAAGCCTAAAATACTCCTGGGTTACAATGATCTAATACAAGTCTAAAGCTCTAATGGGGAGCTTCCCCAGCCCAAGTCTCAGGAGCCATTTCTTTCTTTTTGGATGGGCTGTTGCCGACCTGAAATCCCAGCATTAGCTTTAAACTGAAGTTGAATTAAGCCAAGTGCTGGCTACAATCCCAAATGAAGTGAGTGTGCTACTGGAGCGAGCAAAGATAGAGCCAGTAAGTATTGCAAAATATGTGCAGGCGAAGGGTGATCGGATCCTAGCTGGGAAGAAGTTGGGACAAGCAAATATAACTGTGCGGCACAAGGGTTTGGAATCATCTTTCTCACATAGATCTAGGAAACCGTGGGTAATAATTTCCCCTGCGGTTCAGATGACTATTTAAAATCAGGAGAGCAGGCTAAACTTAGCTGTGGGACACCACAGTCTTGGTAGGCAGGAGTGTGGCGTCTAGGGGCTTGTACAGGGCAGTCTTTTTCTACAACTAGAATAGAGCTAACAGAAGCACAGTATCTGGGGGACCCGAGGCAGAGGACAACCCTAGAGCCTGCGAGCTGGCAGGATCATGCCCTTTCTTTCATTGTTTGGCAAGGAACAGGAAAGAAAGGGAACATGGAAATGTTGAACCCCTTAGTCAGGCACACCCAGTTCCATCTTATAATATCTGGCATTGGATTGGTCTTAGTTTCACTTATTACTAAACACCCCCTCCCAGAAAAATAAACCAAAAGGTTTAGCAGGGGCTAAGCATAGAAATGACACCCCCCAAGACTGTCAGTAGTAAGAGTGTCTTCTTCCTTGTCCTGGGCACCTGGCTGCTTAATTCAGCATATGAGTAGCTGTCCTGAAAACATTCTCAATAAAATACTTGAAAACTGAATTCAAGCACACATCAAAAGGACCATTCACCATGATCGAACCCACTTCATTCCAAAGATTCATGGATGATTAAGCATTTGCAAATCAATAAATTTGCATTGTATACATTACAGAAGAGATGGGGGGGAAATCACATGACCATCTCAACAGACAAAGAAAAAAGCTTTTAACAAACTCCAACCTTACCTGATTCAAAGAGTCTTGCAGAAACTAGAAGTAGAAGGAATGATCAAGGCCATATGTGACAGACCTCTGACCAACCAGATGGAGAAAAGCTCAGATCATTTTCACAGAAATCAGGAACAGGTCAGGGGTGTCCTCTTTCTCTACTAATTAGTCTAGCATTTATAATCTCAGCTAGAGCAGTAAGAAAAGAGAAGGAAACAAAGATGCACACCAGAAAAGAAGGAGTTTAACCATCCCTGCTATATGAGATGGGAAAGCCTCCACCTGAAAACTTCTACCGCGATAAACACGCTTAGCAAAGCAGCAGGACGCAATATTAAAGCATAAAAAACTAGTAGCCTTCCTCTACTCTATACCAATAACCAACACGTTGAAAAAGAAACCGGGCAAATAATCCTATTAACAGTTACCTCAAAAGAAAGGGAATAAAAAGTACCTCGTAATACACCCAACTAAGGAAATGAAAAGACCGCTATAATAAAAAAAATCTTAAATTGCTGAAGAAAATTGAAGACATATAGAAGATAGAAACCTCTCTCATACTCATGAATTAGAAAAATAAATATAAAAATAGCTATCCAACCAAAAGCCATCTCTATATTCAGTGCGATTCCCATCAAAATTTCAACGTCATTCTTCATAGAAACTGAAACAAACAAAGAAAATCCCCAAATTCATGCTGAGGCACAGATTCCCAGATAGCAAAAGCAACCCGAGGGGGGAAAGGCAAATGCTTCATCTCTTTCTCTCTCTCTCTCATTTGTAGATCTTAAATTTTATATAGGGACATGAATCAAGTAGTTATACTTGACATAAAAGTAGAATTGAAGTTGTCTATGGAAACAAATAGGTCTGCAGGGGATAGGAGGGGGAGGAAGGAGAGTGAAGGGGGTAAGAGGAGGATGTGTTCACTGTATTCTAAATATTTACAGAAACACGCCTGGTGAAACAGGGCTCTCCACAGTGAATATGTACCAATTACAAATATGTTTTAATGGGAAAATGGGAGAAATACAGTGTTTCTCCCAAGAAGCACATGAGCTAATAAATACCCAGGAAATGTATGGAAGGAAAAGCCTCTGTCTTTGGGATCTTGTTTCAGTCTTCCTGGGGAGAAATGAACAAGTTTAAGTTTACTCCAAGTAGGGCGCCAGTGACAGGCCAAAGAAAGGATTCTGTCTCAGTTCAGCTTAGTGAACCGGTGAGTTTACGTGGCTTACTCACAGGCACACGGAGGACGAAACAGCTGCATCCCACCCCAGCATGGGGCACATGCCCTCCTCACCTTTAGTTAACCTTCCACTTGTTACATAAGAGTCCCTCAAGACCAGTGGTTCTCAATCTTCCTAATGCTGCGACCTTTTAACACAGTTCCTTAAGTGGTGGTGGGCCCCAACCATAAAATTATTTTTGTTGCTACTTCACAGCTGTAATTTTGCTACCGCTGCGAATAGTAATGTAAATATCTGAGATGCAGGATATCTGATCTACAACCGCTCAGAGAAAGGGTCCTTTGACCCCCAGAGGAGTTGCGACCCACAGGTTGAGAACCGCTCCTGACTGCGCGTGCAGCTGCGAGGGGGAGGAGGGAGGAGCGACTGCCGAGAGTCAGGTGAGGGTTGCGGACTCCCAGCCTTAGACTAGGAGGTACTAACAGCCTCATTGTCATTCGTGAAGACCTGGTGATCCCTGCATGTCCTGCTTATTTTGTGATTTCGGGCCAAAGTTAGTCTGCAAATCAATGGGGCAAAATCACTCCTTACAGGATGGAGATGGTTGCGGTATGTCCAAAGGAAACAGCCATTCCCCAATATGATAAATAAGAAGTCACCTTGGAATGTGTGCGCCAGCAAGGGTGGTGGAGGAAGAGGAAGGCAGAAGACGGCTGCTTGAGAAATGACCGCTGAACAGATTAAGTTCGGACTGAAGAAAGCAAGGCAGGACCTGGCAAAGATAAAGAATTCTAGAGCCTGTTGGAGAATTTCCTTCCAGCAAATTAAAATTAGGTCCTGTTCCCTCACCTCTCCTCAGAGACGCTTCTTAGTCCAGCGGATGGTGTTTGGCACAGAGACCAGAAAATGCACAGAAAAGGTGACTGGAGATCCCAGCCCAGATAGAACATCTGTATCAGCACCTCCTTCAGGCAACAGAGCAATGTCTCAGAAGAAGCGACAGGAAAATTGCAAGAGTCAGAGTCAAGTCAGGGAGCATGTGAAGTAGTTTTCTTCTTCTCCTCCTCCTCCTCTCCTTCTCCTTCTCCCCCTTTTCTTCTTCTTCTTCTTCTTCTTCTTCTTCTTCTTCTTCTTCTTCTTCTTCTTCTTCTTCTTCTTCTTCTTCTTCTTCTTTCTTTGAGACAGAATTTCTCTGTGTATCCCTGGCTGTCCTGGAACTCACTCGGTAGACCAGGCTGACCTTGAACTAAAATCTGTCTGTGGCCCTTGCTCTCACGAACACAGAGCAGCTGTAGTTTACCTCAAGGGTGAGGCTCCTGTGGATGGTTCTACACTGTACATATGGCCAATACTTGCTGTGCTCAGTGGGTTATTAGAAAAAAAAGGAGGATATGGAATTGGAAGGGGGTCTAGAGTATCTAGAAAAAGTTTTAGGAAGTGGAGATAATGATTAAAATATGTTTTGTATGTGTATGACATTTTCAAGGAATAGATATGTGAAATAAAAGAATTGAAAACATGTCATTTCCTGGCTTCAATGTAAGACGATCCTTTTATTCATGTCTTAGAATGACCCTTCTGTCCATTCAGAAAATTTGAATAAATACTGTTAATGTTTTATCACTTTGACACATTTCAAAACTTCCAAAAAAAAAAACTCATCTGCATGTTGGAAGAGAAACCTTTAAGAATATTTTTAGTTCTAACATTGTTCCTCTCCAAGTGAGGTTATTGAAGAAATAAATCTAAATCAGAATAAAGAGAGCTTCATCCTGCTTGGTCAGAATAGAAAGCCGGGACTGCTGTTTCCATTCTGCCCCAAAGCTAATTTAAATTTAGACAGTGGAGCTGTTTACCTTTGTCAGTGCTACAAATGTGTTCTGGGAGCCTTATGTTACCTGGGGACCCCTGTCCTGTCCTCACCTTCTGCTGGCATTGACTCGCAAAGGCATGCTCTACCGGGATAGAAGGATGAGAACTGAGAGGGCACACAAGCCTGTGTCTGTGTCCCGATGTTGAGTAACAGACAAATCAAAGGTTCCCGAAGCTGCTAGAACATTTCCCTCACTGCTGAGGGCTCTTGAGTTCCTGCATAAAGCTGATGGAGGGCCAGCTCTTTAGAAAGCTATGAGGATGGGCTAAAATCAGCTAAAAGGCAATGTACTTGTCTTGTGTACCTGAAGCCCTGGTGTTACGCTCTAGTAAAAATAAACCAATAAACATATAGATAAAACTGACTTGTGAGGTGAATTTGCCCCTGGCCTCACACACTGGACCATTGCTTCACTAAAATGCATATGACTTCTTCAGTTTGTGTTGTTTACTGTTTTTGTCATTATAAACCTGACGCAAGGTCATCATCGCTGGCATTGTAGAAAGTACAGAAAAATATAAACAAAAAAGCAGAATGCCATCATTCAGTAATAGCTACAAACATAATTCATGCAAAGATGTTCTTTCATGGTAGTAGTTCATGACTGTCATTTTAACTGTATTACTATTGTAGTTTTCTAATAAAGTTTCTCGCTCTGAGTCAGAGTATCACTGTATGGCTCTGGCTGTCCTGGACTATGTAGAACAGGCTGACCTTGAACTCACAGCAGTCTGCCTGCGTCTGCTTCTTGAATGTTGGGTTAAAAGGTGTGTAGCACCATGGCAGCCCTGACAAACGTTTCTTGATGCCTACCCAGTGTTCTTTCTCACACAGAGACCACACTTTAACTCTTTTACTTTCATGCCAGCATATTCTGTTTAATTTTTTTGTGTCATTGATGATGGAACATGGCTTTGTGTATGCCAGGCAAGTGTTCTGGTGTTCCATCAGTAAGCTACAGCCCTCGACCTTTAAATCTTTTCTTCTTGGGAGGAACTAAGTTTCTTCTTCACATTTCAGTTTTCTCTGATGTAAATAGTCGTCATTTGACAAGTGTTTTCATATCTGACAAGTATCTTCATATTTATATTTTTGTCCATATTCCTGTTGATTTCCAGACTGGAGATGTTCTTCTGATCTGCTCCATATTGCCAATTTGTTTTTAGAAAGGTTGTTATTAATTTTTTTCATTTTGTCCCTGGGGGAAAATAAGTTAAATGATTCTAATAAGGTCTTAGTTTGTGGACTTTGGGCAAATTATGCTCACTCAATTTGCAAAAAGATCGCATGAAAATTTTTACGAATGAATTCTGTGCTCTGTATTTGGTCGAAAATAGCCACATACCTCATCCCTGGCCTCAGCCTGGACTCTTGGAATACACAGCCAACTTGGGCTATGAATGGACACTTTACAACAGTAAGTGGTGGAGAGGACGGGAACTAAGCTGGAGACTACCACTTTGTTGGGTTTACAGAGCATTAGGCAAAACCCAGTATGTATTAATACTTCCTTCTTATTCATCATGCTTATGACTGGTGTGATCATAAATTATATTAAAACATGTAATTCAATACACATAGAACACAATGCATAAAGAAACTGCAACCAGAATTTCCTGGCAAGAGGCACACATTTTTGTAGGAATAGCCTATTAGGATGCTTTTAGAATTGTGGCAGGACCCTTGGCTATTGTGTCAGGTACTGGGAGGGTTCTCTTGCATGCCTCTGGATTCAGATGACTTGGATGTGGGCAAACACTTCCTACTCTGTTTAATTGACTGTACTTCCTCTGATACAAGTCTTTCTGGATCTCACTCTTTTTTGTTTTTTTGAGACAGGGTTTCTCTGTGTAGCCTTGGCTGTCCTGGACTCGCTTTGTAGACCAGGCTGGCCTCAGACTCACAGATATACCCCTGCCTCTGCCTCCCCTAGTGCTGGGATTACAGGTGTGTGCCTCTGTGCCAGGCTCTAGAACTCACTCTTAGCAACATGCAACAAGGAGTACTCTACTTAGTACTAACTTGAGGGATTAGGGGAAAAGAAACAAGTATCTACATGCAGATTCCCAAACTCATCTCCTCCATTTCCCAGAAGGCTTAGTTTCCTGGGACCCCTTTCTTCTGCAGCAGAAGACTCAGAGGAGCATTGATTTCCTGGTTGTCTCCACGATCAGCTTACCGCCCCTAGAGAACTTTGACCGAAAGTCTGTATTTTCCTTCCTGGATCCCATGTTAAAGATTTCTCCACATGGTGCACAGGCTATTTTAGATCTAGGGACGAAATGGTTGGAACTAGGATTTCAGAGTGTTGAGACATCTACCTAGTCACTGCCTACCGCACACATACACACATACGCACACATACACACACATTCACACACACTCACATGCACACACCACACACATACACACACATACTCAAATACACGTACATACGCACACACCCACAGAGCCACTGACGCAGGCAGGGGCCACTACTTAATGAATCTATTTTCCCTACTATATTATAAAACTGAGGACAACAGCACATTTGTTATAGAAGCTACTTAAGCTCCTTGTAAAATTACACCTCACCAAAGAACAACCTGACAGCAATTAACATGAGTCTTCCTTGGGGAACAGCCAGGACTATAAACCACAGAAAACCAAACTTTGCTAGCTTCGTTTCCATCTAAACCTTGGCGATTGCTACAACAATACATTAAGCTTTAACAAAGATATTTGGTCTCATTCCCATTTTTCTTCTGTTAACCCCTTGGTCATTTTCAAGTGCATGGTCTTTTGTGTTC